TGGGGGCAATATGCTGACTCTGTAAACCGCTTAGAGAGGGCTGAAAGCTCTATGAAGCGGTATATAAGTCTAACTGCTATTGCTATTGCTATACAGTAAGCAATGCAAGTAAACTGCTTACCAGCAGCTGCTTAATGTTTAATGTCTGAAGACTTAAAGCTATTCGCTTCCTAACTATATGTACAAAAAGCAAAAATGAGAATGTCTTGTTTTGCAAACCACAACTCGGAGAATGAATTATTATTTTTTGTACAACAAGAACAATCTGTTTCAGGATGGGCAAGTGAAAGAAAAAAAACCTTTCCAAGAGGCTGATATTTTTGGATTAAGTTGAGCGTTTCAGAACAACTGGTATCATCCAAGCCCTACATCATTGTTTGATTTTATATCATGCCAAGTTCAATAAGAACAGGCTGAGCAGCTTAAGATACTCAGTGACTTAAAGGCTACAATTATTCATATTCTTGAAAGAAACATGTACAATGTGTAGTTCTACCATTAGTAGTCTCTATCTCCCCCTCCCTACCCCATACACACAAACCTCACTCAACAGTATACAAGAATAAAATGACAGTTATTCTAAATCAACGTCTAGGCAGCCATTCCTTGAACCACATCCTTGACCCTGAAGCTAGTGAGTTATTATAGAGGAATCATGCTTCCAAATAGCGAAGCCCCACATTCGGATCTACAAGACAAGCTATTCGCTCATGATATACTTGCTGGCGTTCTCTGCAAATCCATGAAAGGACACTAAAATCCTTGAACAGAGTCCTTTAACTGTCTTCAATTATTACAACCTGGCAATTAGCTTGAAACTAGGAAACCATTTGCTATTCCTTTTGGTAATCAAGCCTCTGGGAGAAGTTCTGAAACCACATAGAGGCCTGACAAGAGACACAGAATTCATATAAACTTTCAACAAAGTATATTTTCACTGGTACAATTTCCCATCCAGGCTGCTATCTGCCTAGGATCCACCCCCTTCACTGACCAGCGGTGAAGATCTCAAAGTAGGTAGTCTTGTTGGCTATGTTGCCTGTGGGTTCGAGGCCAGGGCCTTGAGCAGTGACCTTGCTGGCATCACCGTGGGATTTGTCCACATTCACCTCGAAAGGGCTCTTGGCGATGTGCTGGCCAGCAAACAAGACCGTTACCTGGAACAAGAAAGGAAGGAAGTCAAGAGGAAGGTGGTTGTGGTGGGGCATTCAGAACACTTCTTTTTATTTTAGCAGGGTTTTTAAAATTATTTTTTCCCTTCTACAACACCTTAAAGTCATTACATCAACATTGTTATGTCATCATCCCTGTACATGTATATAATATTTC